TGTTTTCACTTAAGTCTATACCTCAAGAATCTTCATTGTCACTTGGATTTAACAGAGTTTTTGAATATGCGTGCAATCGATGCGTTAAATTCGCTTAGAAGTATTATAGCAGAAGAATATTGGTATAAAAATTGTCAAATATAGTGGATATATGATTCAGATTTCTTGGGATTGATAGTGACAATCTATTTATTACATTAGATACCGCTCCCAGCTCTGGTTCGCCAGGAAACTTTCAATATTCTTATCTCCGGAGTAATGCTCAAAATTCTGTGCATACACCAAAATAGAGCATAAAACATAGAATTTGAACCACCACTTGTGGCGGTTATTGGGAAAATATTGCTTCATGAAATGCCTAATTTTGTGTTTTTATGAGAAAAATTTAAAAGGCGTTTCCAAATCAAGAATTTCAAGTCGATATTCAGTGTTTCCTTCAAACTTGTCAGCTTTTTGGGCAATTCCCATATTTTTAACTCTCCCACTATGTTTTTATGGTTGCTGGTGTAAATTTTCCCGAACTGAGTTCTGTTTAATGTTCTCTAAACGTTGAATATCAGTAAATTTAAGGACTGATTATAATATAAATAAGCAAGCGTATGCAAACGTCCGAATAAAAATATATCTTCTTCTGAAACTATAATTTACTTTACATCAAGTTTCGTCAAACGACATTTGCTGTAGGAAAGAGCAATACTGGAAGGAAGTAGCACCAAAAAGGTCTTTTTGATTTATTTTATTTGCAAAAATGTATTGGAGCGTATTCATAGTCAAAATTGAAGCTATTGTGGCTTTTTGTCATAATTTTTAATGGTAATAAAAATCCAAAAAGTTTTATTTTCAAGGTCGGTTTTGAGGTCAAGGCAATTTTTCATTTAATCAGACCTCTAAAAAGACTTTCAAAAGTAAAATTTAAAAATGTTTGCTTTTTTACATAAAAACAGCTTGTAATACACTTTTTAAAACTATTTAAAATTAAATTTTTTTTTTCGATTCTTGCGACAAAGGAAATGGATTCCTTGATGTACATTCGAATAGCTAAATATGGCTAAAATTAAGCTAAAAATTAAAAAATTTAAACTAATTTTTGAAAGGCATTTTAAAGGTCAGGTTATTTATCCTACCTTAGAAAAAACTAAAATGTTCAAGTAGCCCAGCCCAGTATGGAATGTAAGCTTTCTAAGAACTCACCATATAAAATCCGTTACTTTTTTTTTACTATAAGAGATATACACCTGGAATTTTGTCAACTTATAAACCTAAGGAGAACTGGGCTAGCTTCTGGGTAATCATGTGGATATGCCCTTCGTAATCTTATTGGTGTTCAGGTCACTGCTCCAATGTTCAGAAATTTCTGGTAGGTCTGGCTTTCTAGTGTACCATCTCCATAGGATAACAGCGAGCACGATTATTGCGCATATTGTTAGGGCTTCTGTGCGCATATTGTTAGGGCTTCTGATAGAAAAATTGATCTTCTCATTAAGGTATGCTGGATACTTAACGTTCTCCATCGTGATGTCGTGCACATATTTTAGGTTGACCTTCATTGGGTTATTCCTGACATTCGAAAGGGCTGCTGGCAGAGCTTGCGCTGTCATTACCTCGTTGCTGGAAAATACTTGGTCACCAATCCTGACTGTTGACGTAGAGGAGCAGTGTCCCATTCGTGTATACTGATAATTGACCGTATTCAATAGCCTCGATTACGTTTTGGTATGGAAGGGACTATATTTCTGACAGTACCTGGTTGACTTCATCTGTGTCAAGTTGATTGGTGTTGACAATACCCCGTTTTGCCAGTTGACATGCCCGCACGATTTCGTTTACCTCTTCGCGAACGAGCAGGATGTTGTGTAGTGCATTTTGATCAAATTCCGTTGCTTCATTTTCTTTCGCTATGTAATTAGTGCGATTCACCACCTCGTCGATTTTCTTTAGGAGTGGCGGCGAAGAGTTTTTCGTCGATCTTGTATTGGTGGTTATTGCTCCGAATGACTTCATTTTGGTTGTGGAGAATGTAGTTCCAGTCGGTTGCATCTGGTGATCCTGCTAGCCATTTCCATGCTCAGCCTATCCAGTCGATAGAGCGGGTGACCCTTGCTTTGCCTGTAAGGGGATTTACGTGAGTTTTGAGTCGGGACAGTGCTTCAGCCACGACGTTAGATTTTCCTGGTTTGTAAATTATTTCGTAATTGTATTGCTGCCAGCATCGGGCCTTCCAACGTTTTAGCTTGGCGTTGTAATTTCGATTACTTAAAGAGAAAGTTAGGGGTTGATGATCTTTAAATATTCGTATTTTTTTCGCTCCATACGGGTAGTTCCGGAGGTTATCCAGAGCCCATACGATAGCAAGCATTTCCTTTTCGTTTGTTGCGTACGCCTCTTCTCTAGTGGTTAGGCTTCGCGCTTATGGGCTTGTCCTTGCCATCATAGTCTTGTGATAGCACCGCTCCGATAGCAAAATAATTTCTTTTATCGCGGGAAAAAAATTTTGGAGCTGAAGGTTGGTAGCTGTCATTAAAATGTCTATTATCCCTGTGGAAGGGTGGGCGGTAGATAGAATTTCTGCGGTCTACGTTTAAAATCTTGAGACATGCCGAATATGCCTCTGGTAGTGTTTTCAAGTTTTGGACTAGGAGCAGGGCAGGCAGACCCCCGTTTAGGCCCCTTATGAAGACATCCAATGCTCTTCGACGATGTGCCTCTGCCAATGCCTCTACAGTTTCCCCGTGTGCATATTTTTCGGCCTTTATAGTATTAATCATTAGAGACAGTTATTTTTGCACCTGAGCATAAAAGTCGGACATCTTCTGACGCCCTTGTGACATTAACGTCAGTTGCTGCTCTAATGTTTCTATGTCCCTTATGTCCGCATAGTGCAGGGAAAGGATTTCTGCTGCGCCCCTAATCTTCCCCCTAATGTGCCTCAAGATGGCTCCGTAAATCGGCTTATGCCGCACTATTTCATAATCCTTTATTACTTGTTCTACACTATGGACCCAGGAGCCGTAGTGCTCCTGTGATCCATCGAATACCTGCAACTCTTTTACACAGTCCGGCAGCTTAGCCACCTCCGCTAGCTTGACCTCCGTCCGAGGACTAACTAGCGGCTCTACAACCGGTTCTGGCCTGTTATCCAAGGACTGCCTACGAACTTCCTCTACTTGGCCTCTCCAGATTACTACTGAGCCCTGACAAAGACTCGTCGTTATTTTTAGACTCCACACTTTTGAGCCGTTGGTCGATTTTCTTCAGTTGGGAGAGAATGGCATTGATAGCCCCATTCGTCTCCGTTAGTGACTTTCTGATTTCCTCAGAGTCCATGACTTTCTTACTGCAAAAATAGAAAAAGAAAAGGGAAATATACAGTGATTAGATTATACTCACAAAAGCCAGTATCTCATTGGGCTAATAAACTATATTCTTTTTTAGCTTTCTCTATTTGAAGAGCTGTTTTGTCTTTTTTTCCTCTAAATAAGTCATTTAGTTTTTGACCGTTTAATGTTTCTTTTGTCTTTTTTCACTAAATAAGTTACTCAATTTTTGACCGTTTAGTGTTTTTTCTGACCTTATTAGAAATTTGTATCTTGTTTTTTTTTTTACTTCAATTTCACTTAGTCAAGGTTTAGTTTTTATTTTTCATTTGTTCTTTTTTTTGTCCACTTCGCACCCGATTGCTCGGGCGCCACTTACAGTTCTCGGAAGGAGAACTGATAAAAAATTAAAGTTGCGGTGAACTCACTGTTCACCGACAAAAGGAAATACTCCAATTAATTGCATTCACAAATAGATAGGTCTATTGTGCACTGGTTGCACTCAGTCATTCAACTGCCTCGAACAATATTCATTTCTTACCAACTAACTTCTTAGTCTTACTTATGTCTACGTTGCAGATCCCACCATCAACCGGCATTTCGTAATCGATGAGTTGCGCGTGTAGGCCAATATTGCCTATGCTGCACTTCTCACGCCTTATTGCTCGTATTGTGTTACCGATCGCTTGCGCGTGTACTAAGTCAGCGAAAGTGCCATTTGGGGCAATGAAGAAGTCACATGCACGGCAACGCAAGTAGAGGGTGCGCCATTGGTTAGTATTGGGATTATAGGTGTGATAACTTATATGTATCTGCATACTATAAAAAAATTAAATTGGACTTCACAAACCCCCGAAATTCATCATAGAGATGCAGTCAAAAAATACATCGATGTTTTTTCCATTTGATGCATCGAAATGTACCATCGATTCATATCGATATATCGTATTAAAAACATCGATATTTCGATGCATCGAATGAAAATATCAACAGTTTCTTTCAATTAAAAGTATATAACTCGAAAATGAAGCAATCGGAGCTTCGATAAATGTTTATGGGCCAATTACTCAATGTCTGGTTAACACTAATCTGCGGTTAAACATCGTTATCGACGTCTTCGACTGCATGCATACAACAGGGAGTCGGAGATTGCAATTGGTTGTTTTTATTATATATACTAGCTTATACCCGTGGGTTTCACCCCACATTTCTATTAAAAATATCCAATGTAAATAAAACAAATTAAAGTTTTTTTAAGTGAATTTACGTATTATTTAAAACGATCGGATATACGACATTTTTTGTCATATTATTTGGAGTATAAATAAAAAGGTTTTTCGGTGTGCCAACTCTGGAGCAAGCTACGTATAATTGGCCATGGGTAAAACATGAGTTGGTGAGATTGACTCCTGCAACAGCTAGTGATTGTCCTTGAGCTTTATTAATGGACATTGCGAAAGCCAATCTTATAGGAAATTGGAGGCGTTTAAAATGAAAAGGCATATCCGTCGGTATCATTGGAATTCTTGGTATGAAAACTTTGTGGTTTTCAAGACTTCCTGATAAAATCATAGCTTCGATAACATTTGGTAACAGTTTCGTGATAATAAGCCTCGTCCCATTGCATAAACGTGGAGGATCCAAATTCCGCAGCATAATTATCATGGCTCCTTTTTTAAGCGTCAGTCAATGAGGAGGAACTCCTGATGGCTCCAAGGAGTTTAAAAACTCAACGGGATAATGCACAGCCTGGGATTCTTCAACGACTGTGTCAATAGAATGATAAGTTGTGACAGTTCCTGGTAGTATTTCTTGAATTTTGGTATTAATGACATTGACATTGTCATTTTTAGGTGCCAAAATGGCCCTTTCGCGAAGCCATCTATAGTTTGTGTGATTGGCTTCAATGTTTGGAAATACATTTTCTATCAAAGCCTCGATTGATGTCATAAGTTGGCAAAAACCTGGGGGAAACGAAATTAAATTTGGTGGTAAAGAAATTGGTATTTTTCCATTGCCTATATTAAGAAGTTGTTCAGCAAAAACTTCTGCTGAAGCGTCTCCTCCCAAATGTGCTCTCATATTTGTTGAAAGAGTCAATTTTTGTACGTAGCCCCATAGATATGACGATTTTAAGCAAGCATTAACTTCATCTGCGGCGGTTCCTTTCGGAATAACTGGAAGAATTTGTCGAAAGTCCCCTGCCAGTAAGAGTAAAGCACCACCCATGGGCTGATCATTACCTCTCAAGTCTCTAAGAGATCGGTCTAAAGCTTCCAGCGACTTTTTATTGGCCATTGTGCATTCATCCCACACGATTAGCTTACATGTCTTGAGAACCCTACCTTGTCCTGAATTTTTGCTTATATTGCACATCGGTGTGTCAGATATTTGCGGAGACAGTGGTAACTTAAAAGCTGAGTGAGCTGTACGCCCGCCACACAAAAGGGTAGCCGCTATTCCTGAAGAAGCAACTGCCACAGCGATTTCTTTCTTTGCTCTTACATCAGCCAATATCAAATTCAGCAAATATGTTTTGCCGGTTCCTCCAGGCGCATCCAAAAATATCAATCCTCCCTTATTGTCAATAATCATTCTTTGAATAGTTTCATATGCGACCTTTTGATCCGAAACCAATAGAGGTTTGTTTTTGCTTATAAAAGAACGAAGAACATCGATATCGTAATTCATCTCCCGGGAGATATCTTTGTCGGCCAAATCTATTCTGTCTCGAACGGGAGAAGTTAATCCCAAATGCTCTAAGGACTTATTATTAATTGAAATACATATATTTTCTATATCGATTAGTGCTTGGTTGTAAATTTGCAATGAGCAGACCATGTTTGTATTATTGTTTGCAGTTCGTGCTGTTCTCATGTAGTCTTCACTAAGATTATCTTTGTGATTTTCCCATAGTGCTTTAGGATCTGATGGCGAGCAAGTTGTCAATATTATTGCGAATAAGCTGCGAAGCTGCGAAGGAAGGCATGAAAGTCCAGCTTCAGATAAAGTTATTTCCCAGTGATTATCGTTTTCCAGTAGACCTAAATGTTGGCAAGCTTGTCGATACGTCGAACATAATACACCATCCACAGTTCGTAAAGCTTGAAAGGACACCGGTCCTTTGACTTTGTGTAGCAACAGCCTTAGATAGAAGCACTCAGCGTTACTTGGATGGATTGTATAAACACGTCCTAAAGAATCACCTTGGCGCGCTTCTGTATCGGGCACGATTGCGCCTTGTTTTCTCTTTATGAATTCTTTTTTGGAGGAATTCCAGGTATAAAACTTAGGAACTTCCACATACAGCAATGTTCTGGCAAAACTGTCATGCTGACACAACTTGAAAAAAGCAGTCAATGTAGTGTCGTGTGGATTTAAAGCTTGTGCCAACGCGTTCGACTCCGTAAACCAAACACGCTGGCCATTCTCAAGGTGTACTGACAGGTGAACAACTGGTGGATACCTCTCGTGGATAGAAAAGCGGAGAATGTGCCAAACTGCTTCATTGCTGTTAATGTATCGTCCCATTTGGTATTGCGTTATTTCATCATTAGCGTTAGTGATTCCGAGAACTGCCATGTCGCTGCCCTTATTAACGTATTTGCAAATATATTTTATTGATTTGACCGAGTTGCAATACTCTACGTTAATATGTGCTTGAAACATTTTTGACAAAAGGGGCGAATATGGTACAACCCACCTATTATCAACCTCAACGTTAACGTTTTTTATTTTAACGGTTGCTTTGAAGCCTCCATCTTCAGGTTGACGTCTTCTGTAAGCAGGATAACCATCACATCCGGTTTCGGTTTCTTTCCTAAAGTTTTTTGGATAATTTTTGGAGCATTTGGCATCCTTCAT